CCTCCTCCTCCTCCTCCACCCCCTCCTCCTCCTCCTCCTCCTCCTCCTCCTCCTCCTCCTCCTCCTCCTCCTCCTCCTGTACCTGCCCCTGCTCCTCCACCTCATGATCATCAGTATCAGTATCAGTATCAGTAACAGTATCAATATCAGTATCAGTATCAGTATCCGTATCAGTATCACTGTCCGTTTCAGTATCAGTATCAGTAGTCGTCATCACCGTCCTCATCATCATCACCATCATCATCATCAGCATCAGCATCATCATCATCATCATCATCATCATCGTCATCATCATCAACAACAGCAACAGCAACAGCATCATCATCATCATCAGCAGCATCAGCATTATCATCATCATCATCATCAGCATCATCATCATCATCAGTAGCATCATCATCAGCGTCATCATCATCAGCAGCATCAGCATCAGCATCATCATCAACAACATCAGCATCATCCTCATCATCATCATCAGCAGCAGCATCAGCATCAGCATCACCATCATCATCAGCATCAGCAGCATCATCAACCTCAGCAGCATCATCACCACCATAAACATCTTCATCATCACCATCATCAGCATCAGCAGCATCATCAGCATCAGCAACATCAGCATCATCATCATCATCAGCAGCAGCAGCATCATGATCATCCTGTTCCTGGCTCCCAGCTCCTCCTCCTGCTCCTTCTCCTCCTCCTCCTTCTCCTCCTCCTTCTCCTCCTCTTCGTCCTCCTCCTTTTCCTGCTCCTCGCTTCTCTTCCTCACTCATGTCTCCTCCTTCTCGTGCTCCTGTTCATTCTCCTCGGCTTGCTCTTCCTCCTCCTCCTCCTCCTCCTCCTTCTCTCCCTCCTCCTCCTCCTCCTCTCCTCCTCCGCTCCCCCTGCTCCTCCAGTTCATCCTCCTGGCTCCTCCTCCTGGCTCCTCCTCCTCCTCCTCCTCCTCCTCCTCCTCATCATCATCATCATCATCATCCTCCACGCTCCTGGATCCTCCTCCTCGTCTCCCTCGCTCCTGTCTCCAACTGCTCCTGCTCCTGGCTCCTGCTCCTCGTCCTCCTCGTCCTCCTCGTCCCCCTCGTCCTCCTCGTCCTCCTCGTCCTCCTCGTCCTCCTCCTCCCCTCCTCCTCCTCCTCCCTCCTCCTCCTCCACCTCCTCCTCCTCCTCCTCCTCCTGCTCCTCCTCCTCCTCCTGCTCCTCCGCATTCTCCTCCTCCTCCTCCTCGTCCTCGTCCTCGTCCGTGTCCTCGTCCTCCTCCACCTCCTCCTCCTTCCTCGTTCTCCTGCTCGGTTTTTGATCTCGGGCTCCTTGTCCTCATCCACGGAGCGCCCTCGCCTCTCCTGCCCCGGGGGCGGCGCGGGGGGGCCCGAGCGGGCATGCGAGGGCAGAGGTCACTGTGGGAAACGGGCCGCCCTCCACGGAAATGGCGCCCCCGATGGGGAGCAGGCGCGGGGTTCGGACTTCGCCACGTTCTCGGCGAACTCCGAACCCCACCTCGGCGGCGCGCACAGTGGGTAGGGGGGAGGGGGGGAGGCTTCTCAGAAGGAGGCTGCTTCGAAGGCGCCAGCCCTACACCTACAGGCAAGGCCCGCGCCTTCTGAAGAGCAGGGGTGCGTCCAAGAAGCATTCCCCCCCTTACCCTACCCCCCCTCTGCGCGTGGCTGACTACCGAGCAAGGACCGACCGTCCCGGCATTCCTATAGTCATACCACGAAATGTTCTTAGAACCCAAAAATGTTCTACGAACAGAAACAATGTTCTTAGAACATAAGCTGGATGTGTTAAAACAAGACAGACTCCGCCAGAAATGTTCTAAGAACATTTCGTGGGAACCACAAACGGTTCTTAGAATATTGTTTGGTGGGGCTATCGGCGAGCCGGGACGCTTCGCCACTGCTTGAGACTACCGTTGCCTCACCTTGCCCTCCTCCGAGCCTTCCAGCGCCGCGCGGTACAGCAGGCCCGGGCGCCCCAGGTGCCCGGCGCGCAGGCCCACGATCGCCCCGCTGGCGCCTGGCCAGTTCGGCGTGCGCTCGCCGGCCAGGTAGGGCAGGAAGCTCAGGCCCTCGCAGCCGACGGGCTCCGCCTCCGCGAGTCGCGTGATCTCCTCTGCAGGAGCAACAAAAAGGCATCGACACAAACTGAGCAGCCCCGGAGCTCTTCCTATCCCTAAGATCGGCAAGCCCGAGGCGATGACAATCTTGGGGATGTGCCCTGAGAAACTGAGGAAATCCTTGAGATCAGCACCGAGGTACTGGGATGCCAAACATTGGGATTGGGATAGTTATGTTTCCAGCTGGTGGTAAACTTGGCGGGGCTCGCGCGGATTTCGTGGATCGGCGCTGCTTCTCAACTCCGCCTCGCCCGTTGATGCCATTGTCTCAACTCGCCCTGCTCTGACCCCTCTCCTCCTGGCATGAGGCAAACGGGTCCCAAAGGAAACGGGTCCTCGATCCCAAGGCCCGCCCCCAGAACCACTTCCAGAGATCCGATGTCTTGACTTTACCACTACGGGGCCCCCAGAAATCTCGACCCACCCCTGGGGGCCGGCTTTTCGCCCTGAACCGTTGCTGACAGTCCTGAGGCCTGACGAGGGCCTCCAGTGGCCGAAAACGGCGAAGAGCCTCTGTCTCGATGTTTGCCACTACGCTGGATCTCTGGGCTCTTTCGCCCCGAAGTGTTTCCTGACGGTCTCGGCGCCCGTGGCGAGCCCTGGCGAGCCCTGGGGGCTCCAAACCTCGTGCAACACCAAGAGCCACGTCTCCCTCGGGACACGCTCAATTTGCCCAAAAACGTGTTTTTCGTCGGCGGCGAGGCGGGGCTATCCGCACCAGCGAAAGAGCGAAGCGGGGGCACTGCGAAGCGAATGGTCGGGCGTGCAAGAGCGGAGTTTGCCAGAGAACAGCAAGCTCAGAATAAGCCCCCTGCGAGCGAAGCCGTTTAGAAAGCGACCCCACACAAGGGATCGAACCTTGCCATCGCTCGCACGTGTAGTCCTCGTGCAGTGTTAAAGTTCGTGCGCTTCTTCGAATGATCGGCCCACGGACCCGGAAAGGTATCTAGAAATGAAAGGCATGGCAACGTTTCCAAGACACCCGATTGGGCGACGGGCAATTGCAATGCTGAGTGTATCGATCTTGATGTACCGTACCAAAAGCTGTGCTGTGCTGCGCCATGCTGAATTGCGATGTGCCATGCCGCGATTGTGCTCTATAGCCTTGTGGATTGAGTCCTCCTTTGCATCCGAGTCCAGACCGCACTCATCTGGATCTTAAGCTCGAGCTGGCTGAACGCATATTAGCTGCCCCAAAGCTAGTTGAAAAGTGCGGGACGTTCAATCAACTCGACCTCAAAATCCGACTCGGCTCCGAAAAGGAACGACACGACACGGGGCACAGGCTCACGAACGCGCCACAGGATGTGCCAGGGGCGCAATAGGGTATGTGCCAGGGGGCGTGTCAGGGGACGTATCAGGGGACGTGCCCGGGACGTGTCAGGGACCTGCCACGGGACGTGCCAAGGCGAGTGCCATGGGGCGGCCAGAGGACGTCATACCGAGGGGCGTAGCAAGGGGCGCGCCATGGAAGAGGCAGGGGAAACGCCTGGGGTCGAGCCAGGAAACGCGACAGAGGACGAGCCAGGGAACGTGCCACGCCGAGTGGCGTGCTGGGGGACGTGCCAGGGCACGTCACGCCAGAACGTCGCAGAGGACGCGCCAGGAGACGCGCCAGCGCGCCAGGGGGACGCCCCCCAGACGGGCGGGATTGGACTGCGATGCACTCTACTGCGACAAGCGTTTCGCTGGAGACATCCTCAACAAATCCTCATGTTAGGCATCCGCCTGGGCGACCTGGACACGTGAAACCATGCGTCTCACTCGAGACATCCTCAACACATCCTCATGCTAGTCATCCGCCTGGGCGACCTGGACACGTGCAAAGAAGCGTCTCGCTCGAGACTTTCTCAACACATCCTCATGCTAGACATCTGCCAGAGCAACCTGGACGCGTGAAAGCAAGGGTTTCGCTGGAGACATCCTGCCCACATCCTCATGCTAGACATCCGCCTGGGCGACCTGGACATGTGAAAACGAAAACAAGCGTTTCGCTCAACACATCCACAACACATCCTCATGCTAGACATCTGCCTGAGCGACCTGGACGCGGGCAAACAAGTGGTTCGCTCGAGACTTCCTCAACACATCTTCCTGTTAGACGTCCGCCTGGGTAACCGGGGCACGTAAAAACAAGCGTTTCGCTCGAGACGTTCTCAACACGTCCTCATGTTAGACATCCGCCTGGGCGACCTGGACACGTGAAACCGAGCGTCTCTCTCGTGACATCATCAACTAATCCTCGTGCTAGGCATCGACGCGTGAAAACAAGAGTTTCGCTCAACACATCCTCAACACATCCTCATGCTAGACATCCGCCTGGGCAACCTGGACACAAGCAAACAAGCGTCTCGCTCGAGACTTCCTCAACACATCCTCATGCTAGACATCCGCCTGGGCGACCTGGACGAGTGAAATCAAGCGTCTCGCTCGAGAGATCCTCAACAAATCATGATGCTATACATGTGCCAGGGCAACCTGGACGCGTGAAACAAAACGTCTCGCTCGAGAGATCCTCAAGATCAGGGCACGTGAAGACAAGCATTTCACCTGAGACATCATCTGAATTCTGATCCCCAGGAGAGGAACAATCTATAACACAAAACAAGCGTTTCGATCGAGACATCCTCAACACATTCTGAGAACAACAAGCGTTTCGCTCGAGACATCCTCAACATCTGAATTCGCCAGCCCTGCGCGACCTCGTTATTCACCGCAAATCGTTTCGCTGGCCCTACAGCCGTCGTTCCGGGGGTAAGCAGCTGAAAGACAACCCTGGGCCGACGCCCTGTCCAGGAAAACACATGGTTCCAGCTCGAAGCTACCATGTTCGATACCCCCCATGGGTGGCCTGGACATGAAAAAACACTTGGTTCCAGCTCGGGACCCCCATGTTACATATTCACGGTGGGTGGCATGCACAAGCGAAAACATGCGGTTCAACTTGGGACAACCATGTCAAATACCCCCCTTGGCGACCTGGACATCTAACATGATCGACCCACGAACCCGGAAAGGAATATAGAAATGTAAGGCATGACAACGTTTCAAAAACACCTGCTTGGGCGACGGACAAGTGCAATTCTGAGTGCATCGATCTTGATGTACCGTGCCGAGGGCTGCGCTGAGCTGCGCCGTGCTGAATTGCGATGTGCCATGCCACGATTGTGCTCTATAGCCTTGTGGATCGAGTCCGCCGTTACATCCGAGTCCTGACCGAACTGATATGGATCTTAAGCTCGAGCTGCCTGAGCACGTAGTAGCTGCCCCAGAGCTAATTGACAAGGGGGCATGCCAGGAGGACGCGCCGCGGAAGGTCCCAAGGGACGCGCCAAGCGACGTGCCAGGGGACGTGCCACGGGGACGCACCGCGGGACGTGCCAAGGGGGCGCGCCACGGAACGTGCCAATGGACGTGCCACGGGACGTGCCGGGGGACGCGCCGCGCGACGTGCCAAAGGTGACTCGCCATGGGACGCGCCACGGAACGTGCCAAGGAACGTGCCAGATTGCAATGCTGGGTGTATCGATCTTGATGTACCGTGCCGAGGGCTGTGCTGTGCCTGGGCGACCTGGACACGTATAAACAAGCGTTTCGCTCAAGACATGTTCAACATATCCTCATGCTAGATATCCGCCTTGGCAACCTGGACACGTGCAAACAAGCGTGTCGACCGAGACTTCCGCCTGGGTAAACCTGGACACGTGCAAACAAGCGTCTCGATCGAGACTTCCTCAACACATCCTCATGCTAGACATCCGCCTGGGCGACCTGGACGCGTGAACACAAGCGTCTCGCTCGAGACATCCTCAACATAGCCTCATATTAGACATTTGCCTGGGCAACCTGGACGCGTGAAATCAAGCGTCTCGCTCGAGACATCCTCAAGACCTGGGCACGTGAAAACAAGCATTTCACTTGAGAGATCCTCTGAACTCTGGTCCCCATGAGAGGACACTCTATAACATAAAACAAGCGTTTCGCTCGAGGCATCCTCAATTGTTCATACGCTGGTCCAGCTCGGCCTAGTTATCTATCGCTGATGAAATTCGCCAGCCCTACAGTCGTGGAGGCCGGGGAAAAACCTACTAAAAGAGAACCCTGGGTTTAAGTCCTTTCTGGGAAAAACGCTTGGTTCAAGCTCGGAACCACAATTTTCGATACGGTCTGGGTGGCCTTGACACGTGAAAACACGTGGTTCCAGCTCGGGAGCACCATGGTAGATACCTCTAGGGGAAATCTGGAAAATCACGAACCGACGAAACTGTGTCAAGTTTTTCCACATCTGGTGTCGCTTCGTTGATTTCGTCAATCTCTTGTGGGTCCCCCCGTTAGGGGGGCCCAGACGACCACGTTTGTAAATACCCCCCCGTTGGTGGCCCGCACACGTAGCATGATCGACCCACGAATCCGGAAAGGAACTTAGAAATGTAAGGCATGGCAACGTTTCACAAATATCTGATTGGGCGACGGGCAAACGCAATGCTGAGTGTATCGACCTTGATGTCAGTGCCGATGGCTGCGCTGTGCTGCGCCGTGCTGAATTGCGATGTGCCATGCCACGATTGTGCTCTATAGCCTTGTGGATCGAGTCCGCCGTTGCATCCGAGTCCTGACCGAACTGATATGGATCTTAAGCTCGAGCTGCCTGAGCACATAGTAGCTGCCCCAGAGCTAATTGACAAGGGGGACATGCCAGGAGGACGCGCAGCTGAACGTCCAAAGAGACGCGCCAGGCGACATGTCAGGGGACGTGCCATGAGGACGCACCGCGGGACGTGCCAAGGGGACGCGCTACGGAACGTGCCAATGGACGTGCCACGGAATGTGCCAGGGTGACGCGCCGCGCGACGTGCCAGGAGGACTCGCCACGGGACGCGCCATGGAACGTGCCAAGGAACGTGCCAGGTTGCAATGCTGAGTGTATCGATCTTGATGTACTGTGCCGAGGGCTGTGCTGTGCTGCGCCGTGCTGAATTGCGATGTGCCATGCCGCGATTGTGCTCTGCAATGTCGTAAATCGGGTCCTCCGTTGCATCCGAGTCCTGACCGAACTGATCTGGGTCTTAAGCTCGAGCTGCCTGAGCACATAGTAGCTGCCCCCAGAGCTAATTGACAGGGGGACATGCCAGGAGAACGCGCCGCGGAACGTCCCAAGGGACGCGCCAAGCGACGTGCCAGGGGACGTGCCACGGGGACGCACCGCGGGACGTGCCAAGGGGACGCGCTACGGAACGTGCCAATGGACGTGCCACGGGACGTGCCAGGCGACGTGCCAGGCGACGTGCGATGGGACGCACCGCGGGACGTGCCAAGGGGACGCACTGCGGAACGTGCCAATGGACGTGCCACGGAATGTGCCAGTGGACGCGTCGCATGACGTGCCAAGGGGACTCGCCACAGGACGCGCCACGGAACGTGCCAAGGAACGTGCCAAATTGCAATGTTGAATGAGTGTATCGATCTTGATGTACCGTGCCGAGGGCTGTGCTGTGCTGCGCCGTGCTGAATTGCGATGTGCCATGCCGCGATTGTGCTTTATAGTGCTGTGGATCGAGTCCTCCGTTGCATCTGAGTCCTGACCGAACTGATCTGGATCGTAAGCTCGAGCTGCCTGGGCACATAGTCCACACAGTAGCTGCCTCAAAACTAATTGACAGGGGGACATGCCAGGAAGACGCGCCGCGGAACTGTCCAAGGGACGCGCCAGGCGACGTGCCAGGGGACGTGCCACGGGGACGCACCGCGGGACGTGCCAAGGGGACGCGCTACAGAACGTGCTGGGGACAAACGTCGTGCTGGTGGCCTGGACGCGTGAAAACACGTGGTGCCGGCTCGGGACAACCATGTTAGGTACCCCCTGGGTGGCCTGGATACGTAAAAACACGTGGTTCTAGCTCGGGACAATCATGTTAGAGATCTGGGCAACCATGTAAGATACACCCGTGCTAGAACCCGCCTGGGCGACCTGGACACGTGAAAACAAGCGTCTCGCTCGAGAGAGCCTCAACAAATCCTCATGGTAGACATTCGCCTGGGCGACCTGGACACCTGAAAGCAAGCGTCTCGCTCGAGAGAACCTCAACAAATCCTCATGTTAAACGTCGGCCTGGGCGACCTGGGCACGTGAAACGAAACGATTCGCTGAAGACAACCTCAACACTCTCATGCTAGACATCCGCCTGGGCGACCTGGACACCTGAAAGCAAGCGTCTCGCTCGAGAGAACCTCAACAAATCCTCATGTTAAACGTCGGCCTGGGCGACCTGGGCACGTGAAACCAAGCGTTTCGATGAAGACATCCTCAACACTCTCATGCTAGACATCCGCCTAAGCGGCCTGGACACGTGAGAACAAGCGTTTCTCTCAAAACATCCTCAACACATCCTCATGCCAGACATCCGCCTGGGCGACCTGGACGTGTAAAAGCAAGCATCCAGCTCGAGACATCCTCAACAAATTCTCTTGCCAGACATCTGCCTGGGCAACCTGGACGCGTGAAAACAAGCGTCTCGCTCGAGACATCCTCAAGACCTGGGCACGTGAAAACAAGCATGTCACCTGAGACAGCCTCTGAATTCTGGCACCCCAAGAGGCCCCCGCTCGAGACATCCCCCAACTCTGCAAAACCAGCGTTTCGCATGAGACATCCTCAACGAACTGATGTAAAACATGCGTTTCGCCTGAGACATCCTCAAAATCTTAATTCGCCGGCCCTACGCGACCTCGTCATTGATCGCAGATTAAAATCGCCGGCCCTACGCAAGTCGAGGCCGGGGGGAACCATCTGAAAGAAAACCCTGGGCCAGAGCCCATTCCGGGAACAAAAATGCACACGTTCGAGCGATGCCAAGGAACAGGCCAGCGTTGTTCAGGAAAGGCCAAAGGGTCGGTTCGCAAACGCCAGCTACGGGATTCAGGAGGTCTTTCCTCCCTACGAAATTGGTTTTCGTGTTCCGCAGGGTGTTCTGTAGATCGACGAGCATTATATTGACTGTTGCAAAATTAAATGAGAAAGCCACTTCTGGGGCAAATCGACTCTGCAGTCGATACGCTACTCGCGTGATCCGCGGCGCTCCTCGTGGGTGAGGCCGAACGCGAGGCGGACCTCCTCGGGCACCGCGGTGCAGTTCAGGGTGCACAGCAGGGGCAGCCCGCGCCCGCAGGCGTCCAGGAACGGGCAGATGGCGCCGCCAGGGTCCCGTACGGCCGCTGGCGCCTGAGCACCGCTTGGCCGATCCCGAGCGCCACTGCTCCTCCTCCTCCTCCTCCTCCTCCTCCTCCTCCTCCTCCTCCTCCTCGGCCCTGCTGGCCTACTTGCCCACTTCTAGTCAAGCGCGCTCCACTACTCGCAAAGGGGGCTCCTCGCGAGTGGCCTGGACCCGCCGCGGAGGATGCACGATGCACGACGCCGATGCAAGCGCACGGCCTCTCGTCGAGCAGCTGCGGGTCGGCACTCTGCGAGCAGTGGAACGCGCTCGGTGAACTCGGGCGAGGATCTGCCCTGAGGAGGAGGAGGAGGAGGGAGGAGGAGGAGGAGGAGGAGGAGGAGGAGGAGGAGGGGAGGAGGAGGAGGTGGAGGAGGAGGAGGAGGAGGAGGAGGAGGAGGAGCCCTGCGGTGGGCACCGTCCCTGCCCGGTGCTTCTCGCGGAGGGCCTGCGGCCGCTCGCCCCCCCACGGGAGGCCCCCGGGTGGGCCCCCGACCCCCCGAGGTCGGCGGCGCGCGCCACGGGGAAGCCAGTCTCAACGCATTCGGGTGCTTCATAGAGATTCGGGTGCTTCATAGCGATCCTCCTCCTGCTCCTGCTCCTGCTCCTCATCCTCCTCCTCTTCCTCATCCTCTTTCCTCCTCCTCCTCTCCTCCTCCCTCACCTCCTCCTCTCCTCCTCCTCCTCCTCCTCCTCCTCCCTACCACGGGGTAGGGGGGGGGGGGGGGGCCGAAGTGAGAGGAATGAGGAGGGGGAGGGACGAGGGAAGCGGGAGGAGTTAGGATCGCGGGGGGAGGAGGGGGAGGCGGAGGAGGAGGAGGAGGGAAGTAGATAGACAGGGACGGCGAGGAGGGAGGGAATTGGGAGGATGGAGGAGGGCGGGAGGGACGGGAGGGAGGGAGGGAGGGAGGGAGCGAGGGAGGGGGGGGAGCGAGGGAGGAGGAGCAGGAGGAGGGAGTAGAAGGGGCAGGAGCAGGAGGAGGAGGAGGCGGAGGAGGAGGCAAGGGACATGGAAACAGGGTTGGAGGAGGAGGATGAGGAGGAGGAGAGGAGGATGATGATAATGAGGAGGAGTCCTGCTACTGCTGCTGCTGCTGTTGCTGCTTCTCCTCTTTCTTCTCCTCCTCCTGCTCGTTGCTCCTGCTCCTGCTGCGCCTCCTCCTCCTCCTCCTCCTCCTCCTCCTCCTCCTCCTCCTTCCCGTTGGTTATCCCCCTCCTCCTCCGCCTCTTCCTCCTGTTCCTTATCCCTGCTCCTCGTCCTCGTCCTCCTCCCTCCTCCTCCTCCTCCTCGTATTCCTCCCGTTTCTCCTGCTCCTGATGCTGCTCCTCCTGCTCCTTCTCCTGGTCCCGATCCTGCTCCTGTTGCTGCTGCTGCTGCTGCTGCCGCTCGCATGCAATGCCCACGTCTGTTGGAGGTTTCGCGTGTCGGGGGGTTGGGGGTATTGGGGAGTTGGTGCGTTGAAAACTCGTGCGTCGACCCCTCATGCTGGGGCTTTGGCCCCTCATGCGTTGACCACTCGTACTAGGGCCTCGGCCCCTCTTACCTCATGCGTTGACATTTCATGTCATGCTGGGAATTTGACCCCTCATGCGTCGACCTATCATGCTGGGGTTTTGGCGCCTCCTGCGTCGACCCCTCATGCTGGGGCTCTGGCCCCTCTTACCTCATGCGTTGGCCCCTCGTGCTGGGGTTCGTACCCCTCATGCGTTGACCCCTCATGCTGGGGCTTTGGCCCTTCATGCGTCGACCCCTCATGCTGAGGCGTCGGCCCCTACTATCCCGTGCGTTGGCCCCTCATGCTGGGGGTTATACCCCTCGTGGGTTGACCCCTCATGCCGGGGCTTGTACAGTTTGGTTCCACTTACCTCATGGGTGGACCCCTCATGCTGGAGCTTGCACCCATCATGCGTCGACCCCTCATGCTGGGGCTTTGTCGCCTCGTGAGTCGACCCCTCGTGCTTGGGCCTTGGGCCCTCTTGCCTCATGCGTTGACCCCTGATGCTGGGGCGTGTGCCCCTCATGCGTCGAACCCTCATGCTGGGGCTTTGGCCCCTCATGCGTTGACCCCTCATGCTGGCGCCTTGGTCCCGCTTAGCTCATGCGCTGACCCTCATGATGGGGCTTGCCCCCCTCATGCGTCGACACCTCATGCTGGGGCTTTTGCCCCTTATGCGTTGACCCCTCATGCTGGCGCCTTGGTCCCGCTTAGCTCATGCGTCGGCCCCTCATGCTGGGGCTTGCACCCCTCATGCGTTGACCCCTCATGCGGGGGCTTTGGCCTCTCATGCGTCGACCTCTCATGCTGGGGCTTTCGCCCCTCATGCGTCGACCCCTCATGCTGGTGCCTTGGTCCCGCTCAGCTCCTGGGTTGACCCCTCATGCTGGGGCTTGCACCCCTCATGCGTTGACCCCTCATGCTGGGGCTTGTACCCCTCATGCGTCGACCCCTCATGCTGGGGCTTCGGCCCCTTTTACCTGGTGCGTTGGCCCCTCTTGCTGGGGCTTGCCCCCCTCATGCGTGGACACATCATGCTGGGGCTTTGGCCCCTCGTACGTTCCTCCCTTGGGTTTTAGCCCCCATGCGTTGATCCCTCATGCTGGAGCTTCGCCCCCTCGTCGTCGTCGTCGCCGCCGCCGCCGCCGTCGTCGTCGTCGCCCTGGAGCCCTCCCAGGGCCCAGACGCATCAGTTTTCCGAGCCGCGTCCAGCCGCGGCGCGGCGACGATGAGGCCCCCCGAGGGCCCAAAAAAGACGCGAATCCTTGTCTCGGCTCGCCCTCCTCCGATCCGATCTCTTTCAGGGGCAGACGACGACGACGACGACGACGACGACGGCGGCGGCGGCGGCGGCGGCCGTGCCTCCGCCCGCCGGCCGCACCTTCGCCCGACGCGCGCGAGGAGGGAAGAGGGAGAGGAGGAGGGGGAGGAGGAGGAGGAGGAGGAGGAGGAGGAAGGAGGAGGAGGAAGGAGCAGGAGGGACGAGGGAGGAGGGAGGAGGGAAGAGGAGGAGGAGGAGGAGGAGGGAGGAGGAGGAGGAGGAGGAGGAGGAGGAATATCACAAGGAAGGGAAGGACGACGACGACGACGACGACGGCGGTGGCGGCGGCGGTGGCGCTGGCCGCACCTCCGCCCGCCGGCCGCACCTCCGCCCGACGCGCGCGAGGACGGAGGAGGAGGAGGAGGAGGAGGAGGAGGAGGAGGAGGAGGAGTACGAGGAGGATGGAGGACTGAGGAGGGAGAGGAGGAGGAGGAGGAGGAGGAGGAGGAGGAGGAGGAGAGGAGGAATATAACGAGGAGGGGAAGGACGACGACGACGACGACGACGGCGGCGGCGACGGCGGCAGCGGTGGCGGCGGCGGCGGCGCTGGCCGCACCTCCGCCCGCCGGCCGCACCTCCGCCCGACGCGCGCGAGGACGGAGGAGGAGGGAGGAGGAGGAGGAGGCCGGTCCCCGGACCCCGGGGGTCCACCCCGGGAGTACGAGGAGGGAGGAGGACTGAGGAGGAGGAGGAGGAGGAGGAGGAGGAGGAGGAGGAGGAGGAGGAGGAGGAGGAGGAGGAATATAACGAGGAGGGGAAGGACGACGACGACGACGACGACGGCGACGGCGGCAGCGGTGGCGGCGGCGGCGGCGCTGGTCGCACCTCCGCCCGCCGGCCGCACCTCCGCCCGACGCGCGCGAGGACGGAGGAGGAGGAGGAGGAGGAGGAGGTGGAGGAGGAGGAGGCCGGTCCCCGGACCCCCGGGGGTCCACCGGGAGTACGAGGAGGGAGGAGGGAGGAGGAGGAGGAGGAGGAGGAGAGAGGAGGAGGAGGAGGAGGAGGAGGAGGAGGAGGAGGAGGAGGAATATAACGAGGAGGGGAAGGACGACGACGACGACGACGGCGGCGGCGACGGCGGCAGCGGTGGCGGCGGCGGCGGCGCTGGCCGTACCTCCGCCCGCCGGCCGCACCTCCGCCCGACGCGCGCGAGGACGGAAGAGGAGGAGGAGGAGGAGGCCGGTCCCCGGACCCCCGGGGGTCCACCCGGAGTACGAGGAGGGAGGAGGACTGAGGAGGGAGGGGGAGGAGGAGGAGGAGGAGGAGGAGGAGGAGGAGGAGGAGGAGGAGGAGGAGGAGGAGGAGGATAAATATAACGAGGAGGGGGCTGCCATGTTGCTGCTGCTGCTGCTGCTCCTCGTCCTGCCGGCAGCGCCGCCCGCCGCGCGCGCGGCGCGGCGCGGCGTGGCGCTCGTGGACCACACCACGAGGCGAGCCTGCCGCGCGGGGGGGGGAGGGGGCGGGAGCGGGAGCGGGGAAGGGGGCGGCGAGGAGGGAAAGAGGAAGAGGAGGGAGGACGGGCGGGGGGAATCGCAGAGGAGGCGTGACGGAGGGAAGGGGCGCCGGCCGACGCTTTTTCGTCGATCCTCGTCAACATCTCCTCGATTTCGGCACCTGGTGGCCGTTTTCGGGCCCTGGGGCCGTCAAAAACGGATCCGGTCCTTGGGGAAAGTGACGGGCGGCGGCCATCGGCACGCAATCCTGGGGAGGGGAAGGCAGGGAAGTAAGCTTTGGGCGGGCGGGGCGGGGCGGGGGGGCGGGGGAGAGGCAGGGAAGTAAGGAAATAGGTGTAAGGCGTACTTCTTGGGGGCCAGGACACAGCTTGCCAGGAGCGATCGGCCACCTGTCCTCTTTGGCGGGGCCCACCTCAACAAGTAAGTTTTCCCTTTAAATGTTGGCCCGAGGCCGCGCGCGGCGCGGCTGCTGGCCCTGGCGGCCCGCTCCGGCCACCGATGGGCTGTCAGTCAACCTGAACGTTCCTCTCATCCTCCTCCTTCGGAGCTTCACACTATGGGGGGGAGGCTGTGGCATACCGCGGGGCTTCCATAACTCGGCCTCCTCGCGCTGGTGCCGGCCGCCCCAGCGGAGATGTGTACAGCAACGATCTAGAGTACGCGCGGCACGGAGCCTTTCCAGAGGATGTGTATACAACAACGATCTAGAATTCGCGCGGTACTGATGTGTCAGTGCTCAAGTGCTTCCCCAGGGAGCCTTCAGCGGTACTCTCTCCCTCCGTACCCGCCCAGTGGCCCCGTGGGCCTCGGGTGGGGGGGTCCCTCCGTGCGGGCGCGGCCTGTCGGAGCGGTCGGCCCCGACTTTCCCCGCTGGGCAGCGGTGGCCCCATCAGACGGGTCTGCCCTGGGTGACCTGCTGGAACCAGCAAGCCCGCGTAGCCGACAGTGCCTGGTTTCAGCCCGCGCAGGAGCCTCGGGCGTGCACTGACGTGGCCTGGCGAAGAGCGTACCTGAAAAATGGTCCTCCTCCCCCTTCTCCTCTTCCGCCCCCTCCTCCTCCTGTCCGCTGGATCTTGGAACGTTCAGTGTGAATGACGCCACCGTCGGACCCCGCTACCGCGCGATGGCCCCGCAGGCGGGGGCCCCGCAGGCGGCGGGGCCACGTTCAATGCGTGCGGGGGGCCAGGCTTGCAGAGGGGGCAGAAGGGGAACGTGGCAAGGGCCGTGTTGGCTGGTGTGCTGTCTTACTCCTGCGCTGTTTGCCCTCCGGGCTTCTTCGCTGTCCGCTTCCTTGCTTTCTACTCCGCCGTCCTACGTGACCCTCCGTTTGCCAGTCGCCAGTGTGGACCGCGCGCGCCCGGTAGTCCGGCGTTTGCTAGACAAGTACAGACAGCGGCTGGGTGGCCTTCCGCTCGGGGCAGTGCAAAGAGCGTGTGTGTGTGGGGGGGGGGCAATTTGTGAGGGAGGAGCCTCTCTCATTTCCATCCGACCTTGGCCCGGTGCCCCGCCGCCCAGCTGATGCTCGGCGACTGCGGGCGCGACTACTGGGCGCGCCCGTGGTCCAAGGGCACGGAGCGGCGGCTGCTGCAGGCGGGGGCAGGGCAACGTGGGAGGGAGGAGCCAAGAGGCGGGGGGGGCGCCGAGAGTGGGGAGGTCGCACGCGTGACGTGCGATCGATACGCCTAGAGCGCAGCCAGCGGAGGCTGCGAGGGGGCACCCTCGAGCGCGATTCCAGGGAGAAGGGGGGTAACCTGAGACGGGCAGGGTGGAACTCTTCAGGCCCCAATGCCTGTCTGGCATCCCTGTCTCTGAGGCAGTCATCCCGCGGCGAGCGCTCTGAGTGAGGGCTTAACAGTGAACAGGGTGGCCCTGATAGGAGCATGAGAGCGTTCGTTTGCTTGTTGCTTCGCTGGGCGCTCGACGCATGTTGTTCCAACTCCAAATTTGCCAGCCTTCGCTCATGAAATAGAACCATGTAGCCGAGGTAGTGCGAGCAGGAAAAGAAGGAGGAGGAGGAGGTGGATGATGAGGAGGAGGAGGAGGGGCAGCAGCGTCAGCGCGAGGAAGACGAGCACGAGCGAGCGCCTTGCCGCGGGGATTGCCCATGATCTCTACCTCCACGATGCCCATCACGACGTCCTCGCCCCCGGGGGCGAGCCGACGAAGGGGCAGGAGGATAATATGGGGGAGGAAGCTGAGGAGGAGGAGGCGGGGGAATATGAGGAGGAGGACGATGAGGAGGCGGAGGAGGACGATGAGGAGGATAGGGGAAGGAGGAGGGGGAGGAGGAGGAGGAGGAGCAGGACGGGGGGGATGAGGAAGAGGAGGACAAGGACAAATCAGAGGGATATCGGAAGGAGGAGGACGATGGGGAGGAGGAGGAGGAGGAGGAGGAGGAGGAGGAGGAGCGGAGGAGGAGGGGGAGGGGGAGGAGGAAGAGCAGGAGGAGCAGGAGGAGCAGGAAGGAAGAGAAGGGGAAGGAGGAGAAAAAACAAAATGAGATAATGAGGAGGGAGGAGGAGGAGGAGGAGGAGGAGGAGGAGGAGGAGAGGAAGAGGATGACGAGGAGGAGGACGAGGAGGAGGACGAGAAAGGTGGAGGAAAGGTGGAGGAGGAGGAGGAGGCGGAGGAGGAGGAAGCGGGCGGGGGAGGAGGAGGAGGAGGAGGAGGAGGAGGAGGAGGAGGAAGAGGAGGAGGAGGAGGAGGACGACGACGAGGAGGAGGACGACGGTGATGACACTGGCGATGACTATGTTGACGATTGCGGCGCGCATGACGGTGGCGATAACGGCGAGATGGATGAGAGCTTCGCCGCTGTGCCTGGGTTGTGGGTCCAAAGCCATGCTTGGGCCATGGGTCGAAAACCTCACCGCCGTGCCTGGGTTATGGGTGAGCGCCCTCGCCGCCGTGTCTGGGTTGTGGGTCAAACGCCGTGTCCGGGACCCCTCCGTCCTGAGGCCCCCGACTGCCCTGCCCAGGGGGAGTTCTAGGGGGAGGACGGGGGGGGACTCCCTCGGGAGGAAGGAACAGGGAGGAGCGGGAGGAGGAGGACGAGGAGGTGGAGGCGGAACCAGAAGGTTACATTCTGAACGCTTCGCGTAACCACGCGAGCAGGAATCTTTTTGCGGTCTCCACGGGCAGGAACAGTTTCGGGCTCCTTTTGGGTGAGTAAGAGGCCCTCCTTTTGGACCTTCTTTTCGGGCCCCTATGAAGCTCCCAGGACCTCCGGGTTCGGGACCCCTGCCCCACAAGGCGCCACATTTGGGGCTCTTTTGGGCCACCCCTTCGGTTTCCAGCGTGGAGATCAACTTCGGGAGAGTCCCAGGCCCTCCTTTGGACATTCTTATCGGGCCCCTTTGAGGTTCCCAGGACTTCCGGGTTTGGGACCCCTGCCCCGCAAGGCGCCTCCTTTGGGGCTCCTTTTGGCCACCATTCGGGCTCCAGTGTGGAGATTAATTTCGGGAGAGTCGGAGGCCCTCCTTTTGGACCCTCTTTTTTGGGCCCTTTTCAGGCTCCCAGGGCCTCCGGGTTCGGGGCCCCTGCCCCGCAAGGCGCCTCCTTTGGGGCTCCTTTGGGCCACCCGTGCGGGGTCCATCGTGGAGATAAGCTTCGTGAGAGTCGGAGGGCTGTGTCGCCGAGTCCGGGCTGTGGGTCAAAAGCCGTGATGGGCCGTGGATCGAAAACCTCACCGCCGTGCGTGGGTTTTGGGTCAACAGCCGCGCCGCCGTGCGTGGGTTGTGGATCAGAAGCCGCGCTGGGCCATGGGTCGAAATCCTCACCGCCGTGCCTGGGTTATGTTGTGGGTGCCACCATAACGTTGGTTGTGTTGAGACTGGTTGTGGGCTGTCTTGAAGTCACCGAGGACGGCGGGCGCCTTTGTGTTACTCTTTCCTCCACCCGTGTAGCGAGGATCAGGATAGCGTGTATTTGCCCCCTCTTCTTGGAGTGGCTCTTCGGGGCATTCTGGGCTGTCTTGGTGCCCTCCAGGGCTGTCTTGGAGGCAGGTTCAGCCGAAGAGCGTAGTACACCACACACACGGTGAAACGCACAAACGGCGCCGTCGCCGCAGAGCATGATAGCGTGTACCTACCCCCCGTCGGTCCTTGAGTCCACGTGTTGGCGTCGGTGCCCCCCCGGCTCGCGTCAAAAAGCCTCCTGTAGATCCCCCCGTTCGTGCCAGAGGGCACCCCGCTCTTGGAGGAGGGCTAATCCCTGCAACCAGAGTGGGCACCCACGCCCTTTCCTAGAGGGACTCTTGGGGCCATGTGCCCGTGCGCCCCCCCCTCGAGAGGACCCCCGCTCTCGCTGGAGGGCCACATGGCCAGGATAGCGTGTGCCTTCCCCGCCCTCCCCGGGAGGGGCTCTTGGGCCCTGAGCCGCGGTGCCCTCTTTGCTGGGGCCGCGGCCAGTTTCGCGTGAACCTCCCCCCCTGGAGCTTGGCCTCCACTCCGTGGCCCCATTCACATATGCTTCCAGGGTGCTCTCTGGTCCCGTCTTGGGCATCTCCGAAGGCTCTTTTGGATTATATTGAGCGGTGTTGGGGCCCTGTTGGTTGGGCCGTTTCGGGGTTACTGGGGCCAACCTGCGCTGTCTTGGCGGCGTTGTGGGCTGTTTTGGAGCTCTCCTGGCCACTGGGCTGTCTTCGGCGTCTCTGGAAGCCCTCTTGGGCCATCTTTGGGGCTTAGCAGGGCTTGGCAGGGCTTGGCAGAGCTTGGCCGGGGGCTCAGCAGGTATTAGTAGGGCGTGGCAGGGTTTAAGGGTCGGCAATCCCCCGTCGTCGAGGTCAGGATTAGGATCTCATGGAGGAGGAACAGGAGGATCAGGAGGAACAAGAGCAGGAAAAACAGGAGAAGCAGGAGCAGGAGAAGCAGGAGCAGGCAAGAGCTTCCTCCTGGTCCTCCTCCCTCTTCTTCCTGCCCCGGAGCCCGCCGCAACACTGCCATTTTGGCTGGAGTCTCGCGCGCGCGCCGGCTGTTCTCGGGCCCCCGCGTCGGTCCATCGCGCAGCAGTCATTGTTGATTCCGTCGGGGGCTACCCATGGAAGCGGAGGTGACGTCGCCATCGGGTAACGAGGCGCGCGGGCCACTTGCGCGGGAGGCGACTTCCCCATCAGATGGGGCGCCGGACGCCGCAGGTGGCCCAGGCGCCGCTGCCGCAGCAGCAACCCGCGGGGGCCGCGGGCGCGGCCGGGGCGGGCGCGCCGGGCGCAGGGCAGGGCGCGCACGCCAGTGGCAGCGACAGCCCAGAGCAGACGCAACTTCTGCTCCCGAGGCGACATCGGAGTCCACAGAGGCCGCCCGGGTCAGCCGCGCTGGGAAGAGGTGGGAGGAGCTCGCGCAGGAGACGCGGGGCGGGAGAGGGAGAGGAAAACGTCATCGAATCGCAGCGCCCGACGACGAGGAGGAGCACACTTCCAGCTCCGAGTGGAAACCCGTTACTGGGCCGGGGCCCGCCACAACCCCTCGCACGTCTGGCGTGACGGATTACTTGGAGTGGGCTACTTCGACGGCCCTGTCGGTGGATGAGCGGGGAAGCCTTCCAGCCCAATACAATTTCATAGATTTCTGTGCCGGCATGGGCACCTCTCTGTTGTGCGCCTCTGCTTTGGAGCTGGCCTGCGCGCGGGTGCTGCCGGCAGGTAGCGGCGCCACGTGCCCTCACGGAGTAGCGGTGGCGGTAACGGAGAAGAACGACGAGAAGTTGCGCGCTATCGGGCGGATGGCGGATGCCATGGTCGCCCGACGCGGCTCAAGAGTGCCCCGGACGCTACTGTTCAAGGACACGGCGGACACGGCCACTTCAACGCCCACCACGCGGGATGGGGAGCTCGTTGCCACACCCGTTGCCGAGCTACTGTTCATGGGCATTGTTTGCAAGGACGTGTCCGGGTGTTCCACCACTCCGAAATCAATCCTGGATGAAGAGGGCGCCTCGGGGCATTCGTGGGCAGGAGCCCGTCAGTACTTGCGCGCGCTGCAGCCTGACCAATTGCCTTGGGTGATCGTGCTGGAGTGCGTTGATCGGCTAGGGCACCATCGGAAGATCAATGGGAAAGTTGAGCAAGGCAGCGAGATCATCCAGGGGCATCTCGAAGATCTGGGTTACTGTGGCAGCTGGCGGAGGATCAACGCAAAGCATTTCTACCTCCCCCAGTCTCGCCGCCGCATCTGGGGCATGTTCGTCCGACTCTGGGGCTTCGGCAGGGAGCGCCAAGCCGAGCAACTGAGGCGGGCCTGGGAGATCATTGATGCCTGCCAGATGAGGGAGCCCGAGCCCCTGTGCGACCTCTTACGGCGCGTGCCACCCCCGCATGCTGCAGAGGCAGAGGCTACAGGTCGCCGCCGTGCTACTGCGCGCCCTAGCCAGGGCGTCACACCCACTCACGCAGAAAAGCTGGAGAAGTGCACGCAGCAGTGGGGGCTGACACACGAGCAACTACTGGATGGCAAGGCCGAGTTCGACGTCGCGTGCGGAGACCTGTTGGTCCAGCGCGAGCGGGAAGTCTTGTGGCTCCAGCTCTGCCGCTTGAAGATGGAGGGGCGGGTGCAGGCATGGACTGAGGCCCCCCTCCTCGTGTGGAACGCCGGCGACAGCATCGGCCGGAGCGAGCGCCCCAAGCCCGACTGCCCGTGCGTTCGACCCAACAAGAAGTTCATTGCCATCCAACGCGGGTCCCTGACCCGCATTTCTGATCACCAGCTTCTGGCGCTGCAAGGCGTTGGGCCCACGGAGTTCGAGTGGCTGCGCCCTGGCGCGAAAACAAGTTTGTCAGATCTCGCCGGGAACGCGTTCACCGCGAATGTGTGCGGCGCATTCTTGTTGGCGGCCCTGGTCGTGCTCCGCGGGCGCCCCAGCGAGGAGCACTAGTCCCGACGCGGTAGTCTGACTGCGCATTAGTCTTCATTGCCATGGAGTGCCGCGAGCATTTTTGTAGTCTCGCACTGAGCTTAGTGATTTTGCACTGAGCTCTGGCTGCCTGCGCGGCCGGAGCTCCGCTGAAGCGGCCGCCAGCCCCATGGCCGGTATTGGGCGTCATTGTGGCCTCTAGTGGGCGCGGTCGCCAAATCAGCCAAATCATTGCACGAAGAGCGGTGGCCAGAAAACGCCCCAGCTTCTCATTCCACACGCGCGTGCACGGTCCGAGACGTGCCCAGACATGCCCCTGGCACCGTGCCGTCAGGAGCATTAGCAGGAGCATAAGCGGGAGCAGGATCATCAGGAGGAGAGGAGGAGGATGAGGAGGAACAGGAGAAGGAGGAGGAGGAGAAGGAGGAGGAGGAGGAGGAGGAGAATGAGGAGGATGGGGAGGAGGAGGAAGAGGAAGAGGAGGAGGAGCATCAGCGGGAGCAGGAGCACGAGCAGGAGCACGATCATGAGCGCGAGCTGGCTCAGGAGGAGGAGAGGGGGGAGAGGAGGGGGAGGGGGAGGAGGAGAAGGAGGAGGAGGCCTACCGCACGGCCGCCTTGCCTGCTGGCGCGGGGCGACGCCTTGCGGACCGCGGCGGCCCAGGGCCGCCTGGGCGCCGCGCCAGACTGGGCTGAGCTGACTGACCGCGGGAGAACGGGGCCGGCGCTGACCAGGCGCCGCGCTGGCGCGGCTGCTGGGTGCCGGGGGGCGGCGCGGCGCTGGACTGCGAGCTGAGGGCGCCCGAGGCAACTGCGGCTGGCCAGAGGGCGGCCAGCGCTGCACTGGACTCAGCACGCGCTGCGGGCAGGCGCCGAGGGGGGCTGGACTGCCGAAGCGGCTGGCTGGGGAGCGGCCTGGGGCGCGCGCGGAAACGGCCGACGCCGAGAGCGCGGGCGCGCGGCCGGGCGCGAGAGGCGCTGGCCCAGCGAGCACGCCTCGGCCAGGAGCAGGGAGGCCCGGCGTGAGGAGGAGGAGGAGGAGGCCGGGGGGCGCAGAGCTGCGGGCGGCGCCGGGGGCGGGCGACCGGCGCTCGCGCTCGGCCGCGTCATGCTGTCCGTCGGCGCCAAGCTCCCGTGTAAGCGAGGTATAGGCCCCGGTCGGCGCACCCCCTCGGCTCTGAGGCTTGCATGCCGCTGAGCGGTGTGCTTGTCCTGGGGTTGGGGGGCTGCGCCGGCTCCCGACCACAGTGCTTCCGGCGCGCGGCAGACCCGCGTCCGCCGAGGAGGAGGAGGAGGACGAGAAGGAGGATGGTGATGATGATGAGGAGGAAAAAGAGGGGAAGGAGGAGGAGGACGAGGAGGACGAAGAGGACGAGGAGGAGGAGGAGGAGGAGGAGCATCAACGGGAGCAGGAGCAGGAGCATGATCATGAGCGGGGGCAGGATCAGGAGCAGGAGCGGGGGAAGGAGGAGGAGGAGGAGGAGGAGGAGGAGAAGGAGGAGGAGGAGGAGGAGGAGGAGGAACGAGGAGGATAAGGAGAAGGAGGAGGAGGAGGAGGAACATCAGCGGGAACAGGAGCAGGAGCAGGAGCAAGAGGAAGAGGAGGAGGAGGAGCAGGAGGTTTCCTGTCCCTCATTCCTTCCCTGTTTTCCCTCTTCGGATCTCCCCCGCGTGCGGACGGGAGTCGGGAGGTGCACGAGTACGGCGAGAAGCTCTTGGCCGTGACCCTGCCGAAGCAGGTCAGCTTCGACGCCTGGGCGCAGGCGTCGCCCGAGCTTTTGGCGTACTTGCGGGCTGCTCTGGCCCGCCCCCCTCCTCTACCTCCTCCTCCTCTTCGCGCGTTCGACGCTCAGCCTTGTCCCGGCTGCAATCCTGTCAACGATGATTATGATATTTGTGTTTTTGTTTCAAGTCGGTGGCAGAAGCGCTGCACCAACGGCCGCGTCAGAGAGCGGCTGAATTCTAGCTGGGGAGCAACGATCAGCCCGATATGGAACATGCATCTGTTTCGCGCCGACTGCATGCAACAAGCTTGCTCTTTGTTGGCATCATTATAATCTAGCCTGTTGGGAACTGCCTAGTCTAATCAGACGGCTCTCGAGTGCGAGCCCTCACTGCGGCCACGTTCTAACCCCTCCTCACACGGCGCGCCTGGGGTTTGGCTCCGCTGCCGCTGGCCTCCGAAGCGCAGGACGAACGGTGTGGGACACTCGGGCTGCCCTGGCAGGTTTCGCCCTGTAGGCCGTCATCAACAGCTTCCGCGTGGTTTTGAGAAGGTTGTTCCTGGCCTGGCGAACCGCCTTCTCATGCAACTTCAGCTGCCTCCTCAAGCGGATGTTGATGCCTTTGAGCGCTTTGTATTTCTGCTGCAGCTTCGCGTACTGACTCGGCTTCAGCCTCGGATTAGACAAGGGCGCCCTCTGAGGGGCCATGGCGCTGCACGAACAAGTTTGCTGATGTAAGATTCTGGTTCGAAAACCTGGACTGAACCCAAACGGCTACGGGCGATGGCGTGGAGGGGGGAGCTGAAGGTTGAGAGCTGACGAAGAAGGATTGCGGAGGGTCGGTGATTGAGAACGGAGTTTGGTGATGACGGAGGCGGTGGCTCGCCCCCTGTTAAAGCGGCATTATGCCTTCTTGGGCGCCTCTTGAAACCCAGGGGTCCAATCTCCGAGACCGGCCCCAGACACAACAGGAATCGGCGTTGCTTGTGCCACGTGTTGTTGCTTTTGCTTGATGTTATGCTCTGCTTGTGCTTGCTTGCGGCTGGTGTTCATTGATGATGCCTGATGTTACGTATTTGTGTCCAGTTGGTTGCACGCGTGCATTGTTGCGTGTTGCCGTTCGGTCTTTTCTTCGCGCCTACTGTGGCATCGCTCTGGCATTCGATGCTGCTGTTGCTGCTGCTCGCCCTCCACCGCCTCCTCCTCCTCCTCCTCGTTTTCCGCCTCCTCCTCCTCCTCGTAATCCTCCTCGCCGTCAGGCCGGCCACTTCTCGGACGGTCGCTGCGGTGGGCAAGCCGCACTGCCTGGGCCCCCTGGTGGCCCCTGCCTGATATCAGGGGAGGCCGCCCGTGATGAATTGTCGGAAGCGATGGCCCGCGGCCCACGGCTTGCTACCACCTTGGTAGCTGCGCCCACTGCCGCGGGCACACCGTCCGCCGTTCTTGCGGGGGTTCAGGCGCTAGGCAACGCACCGTGTTTTGTCCCGGGGGTGCCGATCCCGAACCCCCATGCGCCATTTTGGCGCGGGGTGTAGGGCTCTCCCTGGCTTGTTGCTTATTTTTGTTGGTTTCCTCCCTAAGGCACCGCGTTCGGGCGCCATTGGGAGTTGGCCACGTAATGGAAGTCGGAGTTCGATTCCCAGATTGTGCCCGCAACCCATTTCCGCGCGCGTGGCCCGTTGGCCTGTTCTGCCTTACGGCCCGTCAACGAAAATCGTAATCCTCCTCCTCCTCCGCCTGCACCCCTTCCTCCTGCGTGCTCCCCGGGACCTGCTGATGAACGCTGCGCGCTGACTCCACGGCGGCCCGCCCCCCGGCGGGGGCCACAGGAGTAGCGCGGGGGGGAGGCGGGCGGGGGGGGCGAGGAGGCATCTATCGAGGCAGCAGCCGGGGGGACCGACAGGGTGCGCACAACTTCTACATGCAATCGCTGTGCCCCTGCAGGGTGCCGAGGGGGGGTTAGCAACAGGTTTCCTCCCTCCTTCCGTCCCTCCGTCCTCCCTCCCGCCCTTCGGCCCTCCCTTTCTCCCTCCGTTCCTCCGTCCCTCCTTCCCTCCTTCCGCCCCTCCCTCCCGCCCGCCCGCCCTCCCTCCTCCCGCCCGTCTCCTGCCCGCCCTCCCTCCGCCCCTCCCCCCTCCCTCCCTCCCGCCCTCCCTCCGTCTCCCCTCCGGACTCTCAGGGACGAGAGCGGCCATGCTCATTAGCCGGGCTGGAAAAATTGCAAGGCCACGTATTATATAACGCAGCCAGCCGGGCTAGGAAAATAGCCAGCTGGGCCGGAAAATTGCCAGGCCACGCCGCCGCGCAGGCCACGCATCACACGCGTGATGTCAGCACGCGGGGCCATCTTAGGGGTAGGAGGGAGACGAGGAGGAGAAGGAGGAGGGGGAGGAGGAGGATCAGGAATGCGGCACGAGGAGGATGAAGAGGAGGAGGGAGGAGGCAGGAAAAGGGGCAAGAAGAAGCGGACGACGATGAGGAGTACAGGCTTTGGGAATATGATGTGGCGAGAGGTTCTTCGAGGACTCGTAATGCCGTCTTGGCGGCATCTTGGGGCTGTCTTGGGGTCATCTGGGGGGCCTCGTTGGGGCCCTCTTGGGGTTCTTTTGGGGCGTCTTGGGGGCCTCTTGGGGTTTTTTTCCCGGTAAGGGCTCCGCCCCAGGGTTCTCTTTTAGTTTGCGGGCCAGAGGCCCTCCACCGGAGGGGTGTTGAGCAGCAGGAGGCGGAATTGGACACGTAAAAATGCGCGTGGGGAGAAGGGGGGTCTCCAACATGAGACTCGGCACGCGTGCGTTCGGCACGTGTTTTCACGTGTTTCGGGCCACGACGGGGCCGCAGGCGAGGGTCCCAACTGTGTAGTGGGGGAATTGGGCACGCACAAACAGGGCGCGATCAAAACGCTGTTTTGTTTTTTCGTTACGTTTTCGTTTTTTGCAAAACGCTTGGTTTTAAAATTTTTAAAAACAGCGTTTTGTTTTAATGCCGCCAGACCATATCGCGCCGTGCAAGGACATCATGCGCACCGACCGTTTTGTTTCACTGTTTCGTTCTTTCTTAGTTGCGTGGCGCCGCTTTGTTTCTGCGTTTTGTTTTCCCGTCGCGGAGCGCGGCCGCTGCGTTTTATCGTTTCGTTTCTTCGCCGGAACTTACCGAGGGCGCCGCAAACCGATCAAAGGCGCCGCACATCGATTCGTTTCGTCTTACCGAGGGCGGCCGTTTTTCCGCAGCGGCTGCTCTTTTTCGGCAGCGGCTGCTCTTTTTCTGCAGCGGCGTCCGTTTTTCGGCAGCGGCGTGCGTTTTTCGGCAGCGGCGGCCGTTTTTTTCGGCAGCGGCGGCCGTCTTTCGGCAGCGGCTGCCTTTTCCGTTTTTCGGCAGCGGCGGCCGTTTTTCGGCAGCGGCCGCCGTTTTTCGGCAGCGGCGTCCGTTTTTCGGCAGCGGCTGCCCTTTTACAACAGCGGCAGCCTTTTTTTTTGGCAACGGCGTTTTTCGGCAGCGGCGGCTGTTTTTCGGCAGCGGCGGCTGCTTTTCGG